CCTTCCTTAGGCACCTGCCATATGCCCCTGCCCAGACATAGCACATGGCTGAGGAACTGAAAGTGAGGCCCAAGGGGATGGGGAGCACATGCATGTGAGAGGCAGTTTGCACACCTGCATGTGCAAGCTTGCAGACTGGCAGGCCCACAAGACCCTGCTGGTCTAGTTCCTGGCTGCTCAGAAGTTGGACTCCCCTGTTATGGAGAAACAATGAAATTTCCTGGCATTTGTTTATTTAATTTTGAGTTATGGTTTTAAACATCTAGCTCATGAATTGCTACATTTAAACATTTTTTAAAAATAACCAGGCCCTCATTCACATACAGCAGTTACAGAAAATGGAAACTACAAAGATTCACATTACAATTGTGAAAAATAAATTTCACATGTCAATGCACATTTCCTACCCATCTACCAGGAGGTCCCATACATCTGTCACCACACTATTTCTAGCATAAAACACAAAACCTCCTTTTGCATTCAATTCAGTCAAATTTAAGTACCACTTCCTTTGCACTTCACCCCAATACCTTACATTCTCCACAGCACCTGGGCACTCAGGACAAACCATATCGCTTCATCTGTTATTTCTGTTCATCAACAGAAGCATGCTTAGTAAAGGTAGAGGTTAGGAGACATGTTTCTCTCTTCACTCCTATCCCAGTCCACCTCATGCAGACCTTTTAGCTAAGTGAGTAATGCCGGGCCAATCTGCAACCTAAATCAGACCCTGAGCCCCAGGATCAGGCCCACATGTCCATAGTCAGACCGCACCACCTTCCACGTCACCCTGCATGCCAGATCTAGCTGTGCAGGGCCACATCCCATGGGGCTCCCCATGGACCTGTGGGGAGCCCTGTAGGCCAGATTAGGCGCTAGAGGCCAGGAAAGGAGATTGAGCACCTCTGATTTAGTGGATATGTGATTTAGTGATTTAACAGGGAGTCACACCACTCTTACACAAGGTGTAGCTTTTAAATTCAATAAAATATGCATAAAGCAGCCTACAGAAAAGGGGAGGAGAGGACATAAATAAAAATATTACCAGTAACATCTTTGTATACATTTCCACTCTTTAAGTTTATATGAAAACCATTTCCTAATTTGCAAAATTGTGAGTGAGGATTTAGTTAGGGAGCTTCTGGAGGGGCTGGACGTCTTTAAGTCAGCCAGCCCAGATGATCTTCACCCTAGAGTCCTAAAGGAACTGGCTGGGGTCATTGCAAGTCCCCTGGCACGGCTTTATGAACACTCGTGGTGCTCTGGAGAGGTGCCGGAGGATTGGAAGAGGGCCAACGTGGTTCCCATCTTCAAAAAGGGGAGGAAAGAGGACCCGGGGAACTACAGGCCAGTCAGCCTTACCTCGATCCTGGGCAAGCTGTTCGAGAAAATTATTCTGGCACGCATCCAGGAGGGGCCAGCAGGGAGCTGCATGCTCAGGGGCAACCAGCACGGGTTCATCAGCGGCAGGTCCTGTCAGACCAACCTGGTGGCCTTTTACGACCAGGTCACTAAATCATTGGATGCAGGGGTGGCAGTGGATATAGTTTTCCTAGACTTCAGGAAGGCTTTTGATACTGTCTCTCACCCCATTCTCATTAGGAAGCTGGGGGACTGTGGCGTAGACACCCATACAGTCCAATGGGTCCCCAACTGGTTAGAGAGGCGCACCCAGAGAGTGGTAGTGGATGGGTCCTTCTCGACCTGGAAGGACGTGGGAAGTGGGGTCCCACAGGGCTCGGTCCTTGGGCCCGCCCTGTTCAATATCTTCATCAGTGATTTGGATGAGGGGGTGCAAAGCACCCTGTTCAAGTTTGCTGATGACACTAAGATGTGGGGGGATGTGGGCACAATAGAG